GTAAACCCAGGAGGCGGAGCTTGCAGTGAGCTGAGATCCGGCCACTGCACTCCAGCCTGGGCGACAGAGTGAGACTCAGTCTCAAAAAAAGAAAAATAAAATTAAATCTACTTATACTATATATAAAAGATTTTATATTTATCATGTCAAAGCATAGTAATGTAAGCATGTGAATCTACCATCTGCCCCAAGAACTAGAATATTTTAACATATTCCTTCTATATTTGTGCTTCTACCCTGTCCCCACTGAGGTAACCACTGTCTTAGGTTAGATTCGATAAAAGCAGAGCCACAAAACAAACCTTAATAAGTTTAAATAATTGAAATCGCACATACTATGTTCTCTGAAAATAATAGAGTTAATCTAGTAATCAATGACATAAAGACAGCAGGAAAATCTCTAAACACTTGGAAATTATACAGCGTATTTCTGTATAAACCATGGGTCAGAGAGGAAGCCTTAAAGGAAAAATTTTTTAATTTACATAGAATTGAATGAAATTGAAACTACAACATATCAAAATGTTTGGGAGGCAGCTAAAGCAGTGCTGAGAGAGAAATGTATAGCACTAAATACTTACATTAGGAAAGATAAGGTTTTACATCAATAGTCTAAATCCTACCTCAACAAACTAGAAAAAGAAGCAGCAGAATTAGCTAAGATAAACAGAAAGAAGGTAATAAATATCTCTGTTACTGTATTGCAGAAGTTTTGGTGTGTTGTATTTTCATTCTCATTCTGTTTTAAATATTTTTCCATAATGATTTTTTTCATCCGTGAGTTATTAAGTGCATACAAGTTTAGAGTTTTTACATCTGCCAGGTGATTAAAAGTTTTGTTTTTCTTTATGTAGTGACTATTTCTATTCTGTTCCTACTATTTTTTTTTCTAGCATTAAAGCCTGTTTTGTCAGATGTTAATACAGTTATGCCAACTTTCTTTTGGGTAGTACATGCCTGGTGTCTTTTCTGCCTTTATCTTTCTATTTTTTCTCATCTGTATTCTGTTGTGACTTTCGTTAAATGGAATGTAAGTAGACAATCTTATGTCTTTACGTTTTAATTAGCTTAATTGATTTACATTTAGAATTATTATTTTATTTATGTATTTATTTTTTGAGACAGAGTCTCCCTCTGTCGCCCAGGCTGGAGTGCAGTGGCACAATCTCTGCTCACTGCAACCTCTGCCTCCCTGGTTCAAGTGATTCTCCTGCCTCAGCCTCCCAAGTAGCTGAAATTACAGGCACCCGCCACCACACCTGGCTAATTTTTGTATTTTTAGTAGAGAGGGTTTTGCCATGTTGGCTAGACTGATCTCAAACTCCTGACCTGAGGTGGTCTGTCCGCCTCAGCCTCCCAAAGTGGCAAGATTACAGTAACAAGCCACGATGCCCAGCCAAATTATTTTTATATGAACTTGTTTCTCTTCTCTTTTAAATTTCTATTCAATTTTTTAATGCCATTTTCCCGCCTTTCTTTTCATTACAGATTTTGTTGCTATTTTTCGTCTTCTGTTTTTTCTTTGTACTTATTGGGGATTTAAACATTCTAATTCTGTTCTCTTAGTAGTTGTCCTTGAAATTTCCCAATTATTTTTAACCTAAAAGTCTAAAATTAAGCAATACCTTAACCACCTTTCTGATATTCCAAGGACTGTAGAACATTTTAACTTCATTCACTCTTCTCCCAACATTTTAGTACTCTTCTAATTTGAATTCTTTCTTTAAAAAAAAAAAAAAAAAAGACTTGCCCTGGCACAGTGGCTCACACTCATAATCCCAGCACTTTGGGAGGCCAGAGTGGGAGCAACACTAGAGCCCAGGAGTTCGAGACCAGCCTGGGCAACGTGGCAAAACCCTGTCTCTACCAAAAAAAAAAAAAAAAAGCTGGGTATGGTGGCATGTGCCTGTAGTCCCAGGTACTTGGGAGGCTGAGGGTGGAGGATCACTTGAACCTGGGAGGAGAAGCTTCAGTGAGCCAAGATTGCGCCACTGCACTCCAGCCTAGGTGACAGAGTGAGAGTCTTTCTCAAACAGACAACAACAAAAAAGAATGACTTGAATTAGGTTATTATTTATTTTATTTATTTTTTGAGACAGAGTCTCGCTCTGTCACCTAGGCTGGAGTGCAGTGGTGCAATCTCAGCTTACTGCAACCTCCACCTCCTGGGGTCAAGTGATTCTCATACCTCATCCTCCCACGTAGTTGGGAGTACAGGCACGTGCCACCACACCCGGCTAATTTTTTTGTATTTTTGGTAGAGACAGGGTTTCACCATATTGGCCAGGCTAGTCTCAAACTCCAGGCTTCAAGTAATTCACCTGCCTCGGCCTCACAAAGTGCTGGGATTACAGGCGTGAACCACCCGGCCTAGCCTTGAATTAGATTATTAATGTTGTTCTTTTATACAAGTAATGTTTATATGGACTTTCAAAGATGTTTACCATTTCCTTTCATTTCTGAAAGTCCTTGGCTCATCTTTCTTCCAGAAATATTTCCTTCAGAAGTTCCTTTACTTCCGGTCTTTTGGTAGAGGATTCTTTCTATAAATGTATTTATTTATCTATAAATGTACTTATTTTAGCTTCATTCTTTCAAGACAGTTTATGCTGAATATAAAGTTGTTTTTTGTTTTGTTCTGTTTTTTTGAGACAGGGTTTTGCTCTGTTGCCCAGGCTGGAGTGCAGTGGCGCAGTCTCAGCTCACTTCAACCACCACCTCTTGGGTTCAAGCAATTCTCCTGCTTCAGCCTCCCGAGTAGCCAGGACCACAGGCATGCGCCATCACACCTGGCTAATTTTTTGTGTGTATTTTTATTAGAGACAGGGTTCACCATGTTGGCCAGGCTGGTCTTGAACTCTTGACCTCAAGTGATTCACCCACCTCAGCCTCCCAAAGTGCTGGGATGACAGGCGTGAGCCACCACGCCCAGCTCAAATATAAAGTTTTCTATTGATGATTATTTTTCCTCTGGCTTCAGTCATTGGTGTTCAGAAATTTACTGTCATTCTAATTGTTTTTTTCTTTTTAAGTGATTGTTTTCCCCACCTTCATCTTTCCTTTCCAGCTACTTTTTAGTTCTTGTTCTTGTCTGTGGTGTTCTGCATTTTAACTATGTTTCTAGGCATATATTTCTTTTTGTTTATCTTGCTTGGGATATCTTGTGTCCCTTGAATGTTTTTATTCCTATTTTTGTATAAAAAATATGTTCTGGGAAATAATAGCCATTCTGTATCTAAATGTTACTACCTCTTCATTCTTTCTATTATCTCTTTCTAGGACTCCAGTTAGACATATATTATGGCTTTTTATTGTATCCATCATATCTCTTAATATCTTTTTTCGTAATTTTCTTTTTGCTGGGTTTTTTTTTGTTTCTTTTTTTGAAATGGAATCTTGGTCTGTTGTCTAGGCTGGAGTGCAATGGCACGATCTCGGCTCACTGCAACCTCCGTCTCCTGGGTTCAAGTGATTCTCCTGCCTCAGGCTCCCGAGTAGCTGGGATTACAGGCCTGCGCCACCACACCCAGCTAATTTGTTTTTTTGTATTTTTAGTAGAGATGGGGTTTCACTATGTTGGCCAGGCTGGTCTGGAACTCCTGACCTTGTGACCCATCCTTCTCGGCCTCCCAAAGTGCTGGGGTTACAGATGTGAGCCACCATGCCAGGCCTATCTTGCTGTTTTTTATTCTAGGTAATTTCTTTGGCTGTGTCTTCTGCTTCACTAATTAATAATTTTACCCTTTTTTTTTTTTTTTTTTTGCTAACTGGCTGTTTAACTTGTTAATTGAATATTAAATATTAAGTTAATCAGTCATTTAATTCCAAATAACCCTTTGTTGATCTTTGTTATAATAACCTTTATTTATTTAAACATTTGTTCATAGCTGGTCTATATTTTGTATTGAAACCAGTTCAATATCTGAAATCTTTGGGAGTTTTAAATGTTTTTCTTAATTTTGACTATTATTTCTGTTGTGTCAGTCATGGTAGCATGCCTTCTCTTGTATTGATTCTCTCTCTTTTTTTTTTTTTGGCTAATTAATTAATAATTGATGGGAGTTCTGGAGACCTAAATTGGGGTTTGGGGAAACCTTCCTTCAGGGAAGGCTGGCTTGTGTTTCTGCTGCTACCCTGAGTATATCACCAATTTGAGCCAATTGGACATCCTCTTGAGAGTCTCTAATCAGAGTAGATGTCCCAGACTTCCCTCTGTCACCACACTCCTGATATGAGGCTTAATTTCCCTGATAATGTGCTGCCGTAGGCACCTGTGCTTAAACAGTCCCACCCCCTGGGCTGCCTCACGCTCATCCTCCTTCCCTGCCTCAGCTCCTTAGTAGTCTGGCCCCCAGGCTTTTTTGGCACAAGTATACATATGTTGTTTTTTGTTTTTTAGAGGAGGAAGGAGAAAAGAGGTATAGCGACTGAGGCTTGGCAGTCTCTCCTAACTTGTGAGACCACTTATGCCTCAAAGAGAACATCCTTTCCAGGTTTCAGTTTTAGGTTAGTGGAATGGGGTCCTACAAGCCTCAAGTCAGACATAATTCAAAAAGCCAAGTCTGTTAAACATTTTTAGATTGTTTATCTTTGTTCCAAAAGTATTAAAAAAAAACTAAAATAATACTGAAACTGAGTATAAATTAAGAAAACACATTTAATGGAGAGTTAATAGATAAGAATGTAATGAAGTAAACTAGCCAAAATATCCGAAGCGTCTGAAAACACATCTAATCATTTATTGATATTATTTTGAAAGGCTTCAATGATTCTATCATGTGTATTGCCTAGAATGTTTTTCATGGGTTTATTTTATATGTTGGATAGGCTGCTACTGAAGAGGAGAACAGCCATGGCCAGGCAAATGGTCTTCTCAATGCTCCAAGCCTTGGGTCACCAATTCGTGTCCGCTCAGAGATTACTCAGCCAGACAGAGATATTCCATTGGTGCGAAAGTTACGTTCCATCCACAGCTTTGAGCTGGAAAAACGTCTGACCCTGGAGCCAAAGCCAGACACTGACAAGTTCCTTGAGACCTGGTATAAAATAGTTTATTTTTCTTTTTAAAGCTTCTAAGGTACCATTGTTATTGTTTTGTTGTTGTTGTATATTTCTGTTACATAAAGTCTTTCAAATAAGAAATTCTTGCATTTTTGTAACACTGATTCTGTTAAACTCTAATTTTCATCCTTATTTTTAATTATTATTGCCCTGATTCTTAATTATTATAAATTCTATAGCATATCCTTTGGCTTTGGAAGCTGAGCAGTAAGAGCTGATAACTTCCTAACACTAGGAACAAGTTAAATGAGCATTTTTTACAGTAACTTTGTTTGGAAAGCAATCTCTTCCACACAACAGTGTAGTATTGGAGACGGCAGGATAAACGTGGCATTAGGCGGAGATGAGGGGAATACATAAAGGAGGGGAAAAGTGATTTATATACAAGAGACAGTCAGTTCAATTCACTTTAGTGAAGACCTTCTCGGAGTAAAATACTGTAGGAAAATAGATACCAATAAGTATATCATGCTTGCCCTCGAGAGTTCACAGTCTACCTAGAGAGAAAAGAAGGTGAAACTTGAGAGATCTATACATAGGTAAAGATTGTAGTGCATAGTTATGAGGCACATTATCCCTACAACAAATTTTGATGACAGAAGACAGAAATGAAAAAAGTGTGGGATATATTTATGAGTTATAGAAGGCTTTAACACTATTCACAGTATTAAGACCTAATTTCCTTTAATAGTAGTCACACCCTTCAGTGGTACGTCTCTGGTGGCTACTATTGGTAATGAAATATTAGGTTAGAGGGACTGTGAATTTGACTAACATGGTAATTACTGTGTCCAAAGACAATTCAGCCACTTCTGGCCTACTCCAATCTAGCTTCCACTTTAAACAATCCTTCACATACGTGTGTTCTTCCTCACATGGTAATCGTTCAGAGCTATGTTATGTCAGCACATGTCTGCATGCTCACATGATCAAAAGGATGGATGAGGCATTGGTTTACACATTTTGAGTTGTGGCTCATATTGAGAATAAGTATCAACATACAATAGGGATAAAAGCGTAGTTCAATAAAAAGTTGGTTTGACAAAAGAAGGGAACTAAAAAGGGCCTTGCTGAGGAAGGAAGTGAACTCCATCCTCCAAAGCAGGATGTGGCAGGTAAAGAAGAACATTATCAATGCTGTGAAACTTTCCTTATGCTTTATCTGTCTTTTTTTCTCTCATCTTTGTGTCCATATTAGTTCTGTATGGTGCTTATATATTATCTAATAAATGTTTCCTTAGGAAAATTGAGTAACTTCTTTCCATTTCCTTAAGCCTGGAGAAAATGCAGAAAGATACCAGTGCAGGAAAAGAATCTATTCTCCCTGCTCTGCTGCATAAGCCTTGTGTTCCTGCTGTGTCCCGTACTGACCATATCTGGCACTATGATGAAGAATATCTTCCAGATGTCTCCAAGCCTGCTTCTGCCAACACCCCTGAGCAGGCAGATGGTGGTGGCAGCAATGGATTTATAGCCGTTAACCTGAGCTCTTGCAAGCAAGAGATTGATTCCAAAGAATGGGTGATTGTGGACAAGGAGCAGGACCTTCAGGATTTTAGGACAAATGAGGCTGTAGGACATAAAACAACTGGAAGTCCTTCTGATGAGGAGCCTGAAGTACTTCAAGTCCTGGAGGCATCACCTCAAGATGAAAAGCTCCAGTTAGGTCCTTGGGCAGAAAATGATCATTTAAAGAAGGAAACCTCAGGTGTGGTCTTAGCACTTTCTGCAGAGGGTCCTCCTACTGCTGCTTCGGAACAGTATACAGATAGGCTGGAACTCCAGCCTGGAGCTGCTAGTCAGTTTATTGCAGCGACGCCCACAAGTCTAATGGAGGCACAGGCAGAAGGACCCCTTACAGCGGTAAGAAATTTGTTCCTGTTATTATTCTCTGTTATCCACTCAAGGTGCTATTAAGATTCGGACTAACAGTTGATCAACTAAGATTTTTCAGCAGAGGCCTGAATTTTGCAAATGGCCCAGGGAGTGATTTTGTATTAAGTTCTATAGTCAACCCTCCAATATGAAATTTTTCAAAAAGTGAGGTCTTCTTTTATTATATAAAACATAATACATGAAATACCATTATAACCTAATTTTGGAATAACATTTTTAATTAGACTACAAGCACTAGTTATCTATGTGTGTTTATAGATGCTACAATTTTTTAAAGTTTCTAGCAATTTTTACTATACTTTACTGAGGAAGGCATATATTTAACCAGTCATGGTTTGTTCTTTACACTACACTATTGCTAGGCCTGAGTCTGTAGTTCCCTTTCTCTTTCATAAAGTCCACCCAGGAATTTCTCATATTTCATATTCCTGTTAAACCATTGTTTTCTAACATTGATGGCCACTGTTCAAAATGCAGAATTCCAGGCCTCACTTCCAGAACTTTTGTTTCAGTAGGTCTGGGAAAGAGCGTGCTCAGGAATCCTCATTTTAACAAGCAGGTAGAGGCAGCATTTATGATACAGGTCTTCTGCAAAGGAAACTTTTGAGGAACCACTATTGTGTATTCTCAGTTTTGGGCGTTCAGCTGGAGAAGCCTGTTACCCTGTTACCAGTAAGCAGTGGTGCCCCCAGTGACTTATGTGAGGAGGAGCCCCAGAAAAGCCAGAGACGGCCAAGCAAAGCCATGAAAAACCCCCAGGCTACATAAGTAACTGTGAACACAAATCTTAGGCACCCACAGGTACATCTATCCTTATGTGATGGGAGCTACCAGGTTTCCTTAAATTCTATAATCATCTAGCAGTCCCCTTCCCGCAACTCACCAGAAACAGCATTGTTCCCCAAACTGAAATGTTTTCTGTTAGAACACAATTCCACATCAGGTGCAAAACAGTGGGAAAAGATACCAGTGAAAATTCATTTTGTGTACAGTTCTGAGAAATTTGCCTGTGCTCCAAAACAGGGAAACAAAGGCCTGCCTGCTTCTTCACCAGAGTTAGTTAGCAGGTCCCTCTTTCCCAGGACTGCTTTGTATAGTAGGCAGGTTGTTCACGGCATAAAGGAATCTAGCCAGGAAACAAATTAGGACTGAAATCCACCCCAGACTTTGCTTTCTAAACTGTGCATCTTGGCACAGGGCTGTTTCCTTTTGGAAGGGCGTTCTTTTCCAAATTGTACAAAGCTATCATGTGGGCGAGAGGTAGGTAACTGCTAACTCCCTCCCTCCCTGCTCCATCCTTTCTCCCACCCCACCTTTCCTCTTTCCATTCATCCCCTCTTTCCACCTTCCCAGGTTCACTTTCTTCTTTAACTCTGTTATGTTGTGTACTAACTTTTGCTCTAGCATGTTTCCAGCAGCATTCTGGTGTGCCTTCCTTCATGGAGGCTTTCTAAAGCCTTTGCTCCATTTCTCCTGGTATTTTTTGCCCTCTCTCGATGCTGTCCTATTCACAAAGATTGTGCTCATGGTTCTCTTACACTACTGCAGTGTTTTCTCTGACAAGTTATTGATAGGCTTGCATTCATGTACGTGATGTTTGACCTTATGTTTAGATATCTTTGAATTATTTTTCTATTTATTTATTTATTTATTGAGACGGAGTCTCAGGTTGGAGCGCAGTGGTGCGATCGCGGCTCACTGCAACCTCCACCTCTGGGTTCGAGTGATTCTCCTGCCTTAGCCTCCCAAGTAGCTGGGATTACAGGCACCCACCACTACGCCCGGCTAAGTTTTTTGTATTAATTGAAAGTCTCTAATGAAATGTCAGCTGCATCAATTGTGTACTTATTTCTAAGTTTTTTGTTTCTATTTTAGAGGCAAGGTCTTCCTCAGTCACCCAGGCTGTACCACAGTGGAACGATCATACCTTACTGTAAGCTCCTGGGCTCAAGTGATCCTCCCATGCCTCCTGTAGTCCCAAGTCACTAGGACTACAGGCATGAGTCACCACACCCAGCTCATTTTGTTGTTGTTCTGTAGAGACAGCTTTTGCCATGTTGCCCAGACTGGTATCAAATTCCTGTGTTCAAGTGGTCCTCCCACATCGGCCTCCCAAAGTGCTGGGATTACAGGTGTGAGCTCCTACACCTGGCTAATTTTTTAATCTTTTGTAAGACGGGGTCCCACTGTGTTGCCCAGACTGGTCTCAAACTGCTGGGATCCAGAGATTCTCCTGTCTCAGCCTCCCAAAGTCTTGGTATTATAGACATGAGACACTGTGCCCAGCCAGTGCTTCATTTTAATACCACCTTTAGAAACAGTATAAATGTGGCTGGGCCTAGTAACATCACCCATATGTTATCCATTGCTATTGCTATGTACCAAATTAGCCCAAATTCAGCATCGTTAAACAAGAGTCATTATTTCACACAATTTCTTGGAGCTAGAAATGCAGGAGTGGCTTAGTTCAGTGGTTCTAGCTCATGCGTGGTCTCTCATGAAGAGGTCGTCAAGCTCTCAGCCAGGGTTAAAATCAGCTAAAAGTTTGGCTGGAAAGGGAAGATCCACTTCCAAGCTCACTCCCATGACTGTTGGCAGGCCTCAGTTCCTTACTGGCTGTTAGCCAGAGGCTCTAGTTCCTCGCCGTTTGGGCCTCTCCATCTGGCTTTCCCAGTGAGTGAGGTGAGGAGGAGACAGAGATGGGGAAGAGAGGTGACGGGAATGCATCCCCACCAAGGTAGAAGCCACAGTGTCTTGTCTGATCTGTCTCAGAAGGGGCATACCATCGCTTCTGCCGTATTCTGTCAGTCACACAGACCAACCCTGGACGATGTATGAGGGTCTGTATGAGGGTGTGAATACCAGAAGACACATCTGGGTCATTGGGAACTATTTTAGAGCTGTCTACCATATTACCTTACATTTACATTTTACAGAATACTTCCCAATTTCATCTCAACTGCAACTCCATGGAACAAGCAGAGGGAATATTATTTTAGCTTTTTGTACTGAGGTGACTAAGCCTCAGGAAAGGAAGAATCCATGAAGAGTCAGACGCTGGTAGACTAGACTTGGTGTTCCATCCCTCGTGCCAGGAGATTACACCTTACACCAGTCTTCTGTCCCTACACCAGGGCATTGCCAACATACGGAAAGACTTTCCTAATTGGCTTATTTCTTAGAGATCGAGAAGAGGAAAGGGGGTTTAAAATAATGCACAAAGTAGAAGCAGGACCAAAAGAAAAAGAGTAGCAGAATTTTTAATAATCTGTTAGCCAACATCTATTGAGAGAATTCCTCTGACTGTATTTACAGGACTACCAATACCAGCACTAATAAAATTTAAATTAACAGTTAGTTATATTTTTTTAATTATGTTTATATCTTCATACCTGTGAAGTATCTGCTAAGTTCCAGGCGTTACGCCATACTTCAGGGATAACAAGTTGGCACCAACCTGTCAGGTTGGCAATGAAAACTTACATCTTAACAGTTACCTTAAACAACCTGAAATGATTGTAATAGGGCTCTTTATAGGAATGAGGACACAGACATATCTGCCTAGGACTGAGGAGTGGAATTTTGGATGTCTTTATTTTCTCAACTTTTCTTTATTTTCTAATTTTTTTTAACCATGGTAATTAAAAATCTTCCTGGGAAGGTTAAGCAATGCTTCAGGCTGGGCGCGGTGGCTCATGCCTGTAATTCCAGCACTTTGGGAGGCCAAGGCGGGTGGATCACAAGGTCAGGAGTTTAAGACCAGCCTGGCCAAGATGGTGAAACCTTGTCTCTACTAAAAACACAAAAAACTAGCCAGGTGTGGTGGCACACGCCTGTAATCCCGGCTGCTGCGGAGGCTGAGCCAGAGAATTGCTTAAAAACCTGGGAGGCAGAGGTTGCAGTGAGCTGAGATCGTGCCACTACACTCCAGCCTGGGCAACAGAGCGAGACTCCATGTCAAAAAAGAAAAGAAATAGTACTTCCATGTGGCTTTCCTGGCGAGGCACATGTTTCACTTATTTGGATCCCTTGTATAAACTCCAGTGACTGTGTGAAAGCTCGTGGAGTTATTCAGAGCCTCCATTGACACAGGAATGATCCACACATGTATTAATAGAGGTGTGCTTTAATAAGGTGAAAAGGTGAAGACTTTTTGGGCTGGTTACCATCTGTTTAACTTCTTAAAATGGATTTTGCAGGAGGGTTGAATGTATGTATATTGACTGGGGAGTGGCCAAATATCCTCTGTCTGACCATGAATTCCTATTTTTGATCTGGAAAATTTGGTCGTTATAATCATAGGAAAGTTTTTTTTCTATGAGATTACATTACAATCTCTACAAGATTACATTATATTTGATATTACAATTCAACCTATGTACAGTTAGAAAGGATCAGAGATTGGATGGACTGCCCTGGAAAGTAAAGAAAGAAAGCCCATTTGTGAAGTGCTTGAGTACAGTCTGGACTATCACTTGGGAGATTTTTGTGGAAGGAACCTCAGTATGCAATGGTTGATATACTCATGTGTGCAACATTTGTTGCGTGTCTACTATGAGTCGGGTACTATGCTAAGTACCAAGAATAAAAAGCCCAGTTAGTCACCTCACTGCTTTCAAGGGTCTTCAGTCTAGTAAAGAAACAGTTTAAGTGTTACAGGTGCTGTGATAGAAATGTATACGTTGTAGAAGTTGGACTGGATTTATCCCTAAGATGTCTTTCTTTCTTTTTTTTTTTTTATTTATTTATTATACTTTAAGTTCTAGGGTACGTGTGCACGACATGCAGGTTTGTTACATAGGTATACATGTGCCATGTTGGTTTGCTGCACCCATTAATTCGTTATTTACATTAGATATTTCTGCTATCCCTCCCCCAGCTCCCCACCCCCGACAGGCCCCAGTGTGTGATGTTCCCCACCCTGTGTCCAAGTGTTCTCATTGTTCAATTCCCACCTATGAGTGAGA